AACAGGATCTACAGTCAAATGAAACAGGCAGTTTTAGATATTGTGTATTTCCTACATGATTAACAAACAGATAAGTAACAAATTAAAATAATATATTTAAAATGTCTCAGTATCTGGAACTGAAAGAATTCAGCACTATTCTTCTAAAAGATACTCCCTCATGTCTGGGACACATCAGTCCAAAATCTCCTGTACTTGTTTAGCTGGCGTGAGATCTGTTAACTAAACCAATATTTTCTGCTTATAAAATGATTCAATGACCCCTCGTGCCCTTCAAATTGGGGCATAGTGATCCTGAAACTGATTTCTCCCATAAATATCCTATAGAATAAAGGTGATCACTCTTTATTCACTAACCCCTTTTTCTAAGGACATGAGTGGAATCAAACCATTTTACAAAAATGCACAGCATAAAAGAACCAACAAATCCACCGCAAAGATCAAAAGTTCAATTTGTTGCTGTGTCTTTAAATAGATGTTGGCATAAACTAGTTTGACCACTATGACAATTTAGAAGGAAGCAGAAAAGAAATTGAAGGTCAGTGGCTTGCACCTCAGCTCCAGTGTGCAGCTCTTGTTCTGATGGTAATGTCAGAGGTCTGACAATCACTTCAAGGTGCCAGTGCAATATCATATATGTTGCCAAATAACTTGTCTTGGAGCTTTGAGAAAATGCCCACAAAAGTTATATCAGAACATGCAGCTCTCTTGGGAATAGTTTATTGTGACTTTAGGTAGCTATTTGTTGCACTGATTTTAATAATTTCTAATTCCACCCCAAGCTCTACCTCTCGGACAAACCTTATCATAAAACCATCATTTGAAGTTTATGCTTTGGACTTTCATCTCACAAATCCAACAAGCAGCCTTCGCCAACCACCGTTTAAAACAATTAAAAACAGTTCTAATATTGGTCTCTTTCTCTAGCTTTATTAAATCTACTAACATTATGCATCCTATTAGCTTGTATGTGTTGCTGAAAAGGTGGTGTATTGGCATGCTTGAGATTTTTTCCAGAAAAGTAGTGCTTACGGTTGACTGTGAAATATCTAGGAGGAAAGAAATTTCACAAACTATCCTGTAGCAACAGTGGAATGCTATTACAGTACCACATTTCAAGTCAGTGAATTCTTTCACAAATATTTATATAAGTAGACCGCATAGCTAGGTGCTTACAGGGAAACTAAAAGCACTGTAATTCTAAGATTAAGCGGTATGGCTGAATACTTTTCTATACAGTCTAGTAGAGTAGTCAAGGATATGGTCAAACTCATTTAATATCTTAAACAAGAGACAGACTTAGCAATATCTGCATAAATACTGCTTTAGACAGGTACCTCTCTAACATCAGTGATACCTTGTGGTGCAGGTTGTCTCTGATTGGATGCTGTGATTGAGCTGGAATCAGGAAGTCACAAGGCACCATTCGAGTTCCTGAAATGAACATGTTGAGTCGCATTAGTGACAAACTTAACCAGGTAGCAAACTGGATTAAAGTCCTTTAG